CTGCACTTTTTTCTGTACTGTCAGTCTGCCCTAAGAATTCAAGAGAAAAAGTAGATGGCATTGGAATCCTCATTAAAGATCTGTTTTTTACTGAATATGGAACACTGGTTTGAAAAGCTTCAAGTCTGAGAATTTTTGCATTATAAATTGAATCCCATTTCAAGCATTTTTCTTTCAGTAATTAATATGTTATTGAAGTTTGCTTTTTGCATTCCTTTTGAAAAGGAATAACTAGTTTTCTTTTTAGAAATACCTGTGAAAAATTTTTAATCGATTGGTATATTTTCCTCGTCACTTATTCACTACCCCATTGCTCCAAAATTAGTTACCAGTTTAAGTCATCTTTGTTATACAAAGTAAAGCAATATAAAATAGGATGCAGTTTAAATTTATTTAAAACTGATAGCAGTATTTGAGAACTCTCCCTTTTCATCTAGGAATGTAATGACAAATCTACGAAATTTGGAAGAAGCAATACCAGTGAAAAGGTGGATGGACAAGGTAAACTTTAATTTTGAATATGACCCATTATTTGATTTATATTTTTCAGCCTAATGGTATATAATAATTCCAGTTGTGGCTTTGTACTACACAAAAATTTAGGTTCTTTCTTTTTTGAAGAATCTCGTAAGGAGTGGTAGGAAAATTTTCTATAAAGAAGGGATTGAATTGATGGCAGTGCATCAGTTAGAGAAGCCGTGGAAGAGTGTTTTTGGTTGTGAAAAAAAGTCTTGTAAAAGGGCAGTTAAAGAATAGAGTGTAACGTAATGTGTATGGACAACAGCAGATAAAGCTAGAAAGATAGGTTAGAGCCAAATTCTGAAGTCAGAAGAGAAATGAAGAGATGTGTTGATTTTTGTGTTTAAATGACTCTGAAGTCATTCTGAAAGACATGTTAGAATAGAGCAAGATTTAAAACATTTTAAGAATAGTAGGTGAAAAATTGGAAATTAGCTTTTTATTTTAAAATTGATGTAGGAGATAAATACAAAAATAATTGGAGAACAAGGCAGAGTTGAGGGTGGAATGATTTTTTTGGTTTTGTTTTTGGTTGTAAGCAAGAAATTTGACATTTTGGGTATAATGGAAAGAGTAATTGGTGGGAATGTGAGTGGAAAGGGGACCAAGAGAATAGGTAGACGAGTTGGCATTAGAAGACAGTGAGTAAATTTGCGGGAAGATACAGATGAATGAGAGGATAAAAACATAGAAAAATTGGGATTTTATAGAAAATGATGTCTGATTTTCTTTGTAACGTGAACTCGGTCATCTGGGAGTAAAAGGAGTTAGAGTGTAGGCAAAGGATCCAATACTATTTGGATCATCTGGTGAGTGGATGGGGCTGAACAGTGTTAGCATAG